CCCCCGTGCCTCTCACATGCACGTGTGACTGTGTGAGGCAAACAGCGGTGCTGAACAGTTCTTTACAGTTAGAGGGGGTCTTTTGTGCTTTGTTTCTTAAAGCCACCATCACTATGTACAAAATCTATCAGTGGGATTCAAATGCACGACACCTGAGCTGAGAATGACTTAACACTGTCTTCTGAGGTGAATCACATCGAGAACTAAATTCCATTAACACACTAGCAGAACTTCCTTTCTTGCGAAATCACGCGTCATTGCATGTTGTGTTTGTTTGCCTTGAGTCACGCCCCAGTGAATGGCCTCACCCCACGAGGGGGCGGGCAAGAGCCTCCTGCCACCCAAAGCGCAGCACTCCTGTGCTCCTTCCTAGGAGCAGGGCTCAGACCCCCCCCCCCCCCCCCCCGCACAACAGTTCTCTATACAACTAGTGCCTGCACGACAGGTGCGCCGCGGTGACCACACACAGTGTGGGCCTATCTGCCAGGTCACTGGATCGGCTTCAGTGCCACACCAAACATACATACTTCTTTATCTCTGACACTTGGCACCACAGAAAAACAGAATGGAGGCCAGTGATTCTTAAACAGGGTGTCTGTCTGCAGACCTCCGATGCCCTTATCCAGGAAGGTCCTCACAGGGAAGGCATCTGACCTCAGTGGGGAAGGTGAAGAGCCATCCTGGGGGTCTCCTGTGCTCCACAGGCAGTGCCTCTGCCCACAGCACCTACAACGGCCATCTCAGGACAGTAGCCTTGTGAGAAACACCACTTGCTCACACAAGTAAAACCCTCACCTTGAAATGCAGAACATCCTGCCTGCAGTATCCACAGGGACCCCGAGGAACACTTGGTACTCGCTTTGACAGACAGGTCAAGAAGACCCTGAGAAACACTCGGAGCTCACCTCCACAGGACAACAAGACCCTGAGGAACACTCGGAGCTCACCTCCACAGGACAAGACCCCGAGGAACACTCAGAGCTCACCTCCACAGGACAACAAGACCCTGAGGGACACTCGGAGCTCACCTCCACAGGACAACAAGACCCTGAGGAACACTCGGAGCTCACCTCCACAGGACAACAAGACCCTGAGGAACACTCGGAGCTCACCTCCACAGGACAATAAGACCCTGAGGAACACTCGGAGCTCACCTCCACAGGACAATAAGACCCTGAGGAACACTCGGAGCTCACCTCCACAGGACAACAAGACCCTGAGGAACACTCGGAGCTCACCTCCACAGGACAACAAGACCCTGAGGGACACTCGGAGCTCACCTCCACAGGACAACAAGACCCTGAGGAACACTCGGAGCTCACCTCCACAGGACAAGACCCCGAGGAACACTCAGAGCTCACCTCCACAGGACAACAAGACCCTGAGGGACACTCGGAGCTCACCTCCACAGGACAACAAGACCCTGAGGAACACTCGGAGCTCACCTCCACAGGACAATAAGACCCTGAGGAACACTCGGAGCTCACCTCCACAGGACAACAAGACCCTGAGGAACACTCGGAGCTCACCTCCACAGGACAACAAGACCCTGAGGAACACTCAGAGCTCACCTCCACAGGACAAGAGCCACAGAGGCACAACCTAGAAGGAGCCCAGGCAACATTAAGTCAAGAAGGAATAAGGGAAGGGAGAGACGGAAGAAGCAGAGCTGGACGTCTTTCCTAAACACACTACGAGGACCAACTTCCTAAGAGCTTTGCCAGTCAGCTCCAAGGTCCAGCTAATGATGTGGGTAGGCTCCATCTGCAAAGTACCTAGTCCTGGCCAGGAAAGATCTAAAATAGTATCGATAAGTCAATGCTGTTAAAATGGTGTCACATATCAAGATTAAAACTCAGCCACTATCTGTTTAGCTGACCAAGGCTATTCACAAGGATAAAGTCAATTCGTGTTTGCTGTTTCTGCCTGTCATAATAATCTCAATGCAGAAACAGAAATGCACAAATGCAGAAAAGTAGAAGTCAACAGCGACTAAGGCAAGTGCAAACAAGGACACTGCTCCAACTTAGTTCAGTCCAGGGCAGACAACTCCTCAGAAGCCAGGCCAGACCTGCCTACCACTTCCACACTCTTCCAACCCTACTTTTGGGGACTTGAACTTGCAGAATGCTGGTCACAGCGTCTTTCCTACAGATGAAAAGAATCCAAGATGAGTCAAGATGTCCCACTCGTGCTTGGCCCCCAAGAACTCCATGCTGTCTCCCGTATTACTGGTCAACCCAAAGGCTGGGCTGATGTTTAAGTATCAGTCAGGCTCTGCAATATCTGACTCTGGTCTCAAGACAGCTTCAACGCGAAGCTTGCTGTATCCCCATTCTACAGAGAGGAGATTGGAAAGACAAGATTTGTGCTTGATCAGTACAAGAGGACTCAACACCTCCCCTCCATGGGAGACCCCCTTAACATGGGGTCTCAATGATTTCCTTGATGAAAATCAGTACTTCTTAAATTTTTTATAGGAAGAAAAAGGACAGACCATGTTTCCTTTAACAGTACTAAGGCTTACAAACATCTGCCCTGCCTTTTAGCCAAGAAGACTCAGTGCATACCTGGAACTCTTTCTTTCTCCAAGAGCTTAGTGTAAAGACTGAATATCTGCTCCTGGACTTTGCACACCGACCGTTTCATCTTTTCCCTGCGTGTGACCATGTACGTGAGGTTCCGCACCTGAACGCAGAGAAAAAAAGATTCTACGTGAGCAACAGCAGCAACAGTGCCTTGGGGTTCATTTCAGCCGAGAAAACTTGGGCTAAGCCTTTCACCCCATCTTTATCTTTTTGGCAACAAGAAGTCCAGTTGTTTCCCTTGGTGCTGCACCACACCTAACCTAGGAAGCAGCACCGCCCTGACACGGAGCCCGCCCGCAGAGGCGCGCTCCTCCGCCAGGATCTGCTCCTGCCCCCCGCCCGCCTGCGGGTTCTCCCCTGGGCTCTACGGCCACGGCCTTCAGAGGACTCGGAAGCCACCACTGTGCTTTCTGAAGAAGAGGCCCCCAGCCCAGCCCCCTCCACCACCAAACTGTCTCAGTTCAAGTGAGCCACTGTCCACGGGGTGTGACAAACAGCTGGCGGCTGTGTGCAGAGCAAGGCCCAGGCGCCCCGCGTCACCAGATAGGACCACGCACCACTAGCCACACGGAGCCTTCCACCTCAGGCCTCAAGTCTAGAACCCAAAGCTAAGGCTTCAGCCGCTAAGCGCCGCGGATGCCAGGCTCCTGCATCTTCATGAGCCCCAAGCACACAGCACGACGGCGCCGTGTGAACAGGACCGCAGTTATCTCCATGATGGGTCCACCCTCCTGCCTCCCGTGTGCCTTCTTTCGGTCACGGGGGCGCAACCGCCTGGGCGCACTGCTGGCCTCCCAGCCCCGCTCCTCTCGTTTCTGCAGACCCCCTGCACACTACACTCGGGCACTGGCTTCTCCCACGGGTGACAGAGCATGGTCTCGGCCGCCCCGCCTCCTCCTCAGAGGAGCGAGGGGAGCTGGTGTGGCTATCTTTGGGCCTGGTCAGTTCCTGCTCCCAGACACACCCCAGAGCCAGGAGGTGAACAGAACGGGAGCCCGGCGGCGGACAGTAGGGGGCCTCGCCAGAGCCGCATCTCCCCTGTGGGTTTGCCGCAGGATGGACTTGAGAGACGCATGGGAAGCTCGACCCTGTGGTACTCCACTGCTGGCTACGGCCCCTGCCTAGGCACCCGCCCGCATCCCCGCCTGCCCTCCCTGGTCCTGCCCAGCGCTGCCAGCACGGCCCCTTGCAGAGCCGAACCAGGTCACTGTTCCCAGACCATGCCATGTCCTGTCCATACTTCTCCCTCAAGCACTAGTTTGCAAACACCTGACTGCACTTCTAATGAATTTTCCAGAATTGCCCGAAGAACTACCTGGAAGGTAGTTCCTACAGGTCACAGCATGACCCCAGCCCATCCATGTTCAAGGCCATGGTGTCCAGCTCCTCACATGGGACCCAAGCACAGGACTGCCTGGCCCCTTCTGAACCCCTGGCCAAACACCACTCTGAAAAGGGCCTTGAGGGGAGCCCCAGGCAGGAAGGCGACCATGGGGCTCAATGTGTTCACCACCACGCAGATCCGTTCCTATCTTATGGAGTTGTGTCTGTGCTGGGAAGAAGGGCCACGCCCTGAGCCATGTGGGCAGAACTCCAAGGACTGAGACAAGTCCCCTGCCTCACGGTTAGTTCTCACTGTCACCGCTGCCCTGATTAGCCCTTGGTCTGACATGCGTGCTGTTCATAATTACAACGAGCACTGCCCTCTCTGGGGCAGAGTTCAGCTTTTCAGAGCCGCTGCTATCAGCATGACGGCAAATTTCAGGAAAGCGCAACTTCCAGTAGCGTAAGCAACTGATACTGAATCCCCTAACGTCTGATTTTTTTAATAAGACAAATATAAGTAATACCACACACACGCACACACAAATCCTGATTTATTCCCTGTGTTTCATACATCATAGGCATTCTACTTAGAAAGCAGCAGTGACTCCAAAAATAGTTCAGAATTTAATTGTGAGTGCATGTTCTTAAATACAGAGAAGAGTTAGTACACCACAGGCATTTTCTACACTTTTATTTTGTGGTGATTGAGACAGACACAGCTCAAACACGAGACTTCTGCCCTCCCTCCCCGAGCCGGGCCGGGCCGGGCCGGCCTCAGCCCCGGGCATCACAGGAGCCACGGGCCTGCGAAGGGGTCTTCCCTGGCCTCACCACCAGGGGGCCTCACCCTGGGGTCTCTGCAGGACAGAGGCCTAGGGGCCAGGGGTGGCAGCACTGTGGACCCATCTCCAGGCCAGCCAGCTTCTGGGAGGTCTAGACATCTCGTCTGCTCCTGCCCTGCGGCCCAGCCTCTCACCTCCACATCTGAGCAGACTCCAGGGAGGTGCACACCCCACCAGCAAGCCAGGGTTTGGGGGCCCTTCACTGTTTCAGCCGCCCCCGGCCGGAGAACGCATGCCATCCTGGCCACACTAATGAATTAATGGTAGCCGACAGCCTGGGGGGGGGAGGGGCGTGGGGGAGTTTCTAGAACCAGTGAGCCCAGGCAGAAAGACCTGCAGGGGGCAGGAGGCCCTGGGAAGGGAGCCAGCCCAAGTAGGAAGGAGTTTCACGCAGACCCCGAAGGCCAGGAGAACCGGGGGTACAAAGCAGCACACACATGCACAGTGCCGGCAGCCATGGCTGCAGCTGCGCAGCGGAGCACACGAGTATCGGCAGCACACAGTGGAGCACAACTGCCAGGCCTCTGGCTAGCACCAAGGCCTGTGCCAGGAGTCACACCCGCAACACCAGACTCAGCGCGTGCCTGTGCACAGTGTACACGCACCACACATGCACGTGTACTGCACACATCCTACATGCATAGTGCATACACACGGTGTATACACACTGCACACACAACGTGCACACCACACACATACACACTGCATGGCGTATACACATGGTACACTCAGATACCCGGCATACATACACTGTACACATACCACACACATCTACTGCACAGTGTACACTGTGCACACACACATACTGCATACACACTACACACACACCATACACATCATACACGCACACATACTGCATACACATGGTGTGTGCCACTGCGTACGGATGCATAGTGCAACGCGGTGTGTACATTATGCATGCACACATACTACATACATACACGGCACGCACGCCATACACGCATCATACACACATGCATACTGTATACACACGGTGTATATATGAACTGTACACACACCTGCATGCATTGTACACACGCACATATGCTGCATACACAGTGTATATGCACTGTACACGTGCACATATGCACGGTGCAACACATGCACACATCATATATGCATGCACATATACACAGTGTATACACAGTACACACATGCATACTGCATACACATGGTGTATAAACATTGTACACACACGCCACACCCACACGTGTGTATACTAGTGTATACACAGTAGACACACGCTGCATACATACTGTACGTACACACTGAACACACACTGTACTCACATCACACACCATGTGTATATACACACACCGTGCACACACAGCAAGAATGCAGCCCCTGTGAGGACGCGGCAGCCTGTCAGGAGTGTCTTCACAAACATGCACACGGTCGGCGCCCTCAGCCTGCTCCGCTCACAGTGGTGCTGAGGCCGAGGCGGGGAGCAGAGCCTTGCGCCCCTTGCAGGCCTCTCCCCGGCTGCACAAGTCATTTCCCTATTCCTGCCCCCCACTCACAAGTGAAACCCGTCCTAGTTGTCAAAGTTAGTCTGTAAACATTCTGAGTCAACCCTTGGTCATTTTCCTGGGGTTCAGTCCCCTCTGGAAAAAGAGGGTAAAGAAAGGAATGCCCTCTGATCTTGCCAACAGTAAAGGTGAAGGGAGAGTGTCTAAGAATCACAGAGAAGCCCGCCAGAGCGGCGGTGGCGGCGGCGGCGGCGCAGCAGCGCAGGGAGCGGCCGGCCCGCCACCGCACTAGACCGCAGGACCTGGTGCGTGGTGCGCACAGGTCACCGTGAGGACTGGCTATCACCTCTTGCTCTGGCGAGCCCGGCCTCTGCATCCTCGTCGCTAGGCCACTACAGGGTGTTGGAGTCGATCATTACCCGCTCCAGGTCCTGCCGCAGGTGCGTGAACAGCTGCAGCCTCCTAAACAAGACGTCCTGCTCGCGCTTGGCCAGATTGTCCTCCTCGTCTTTCTTTGGGGTGATGAGGGGCTTGTTGAAATTGACCTTCCTCTTCAGCTTCCAGTACTGGTACAGGAAATCCACCACCGCCTCCGGCAGCCTCAGGGCCCTGGCCACGTCCAGCAGGTTGACGAAGGTGTAGAACTCGTCCTCCAGCTGCTGCAGCTTCTGCTTGCGGACGCTGGTGCGGTGGGCTTCGTCACGCTGCTGCCCAGGGCCGGTGAGGGCCTCCAGGGGGCTCCGGGGAGCCCCGTTCTCCGTGGGCCCCTCCCCAAGGCTCTCCTCGGGCTTCCGGTGCGAGCTGTGCTTCGGGCAGTAGGACTTGAATTTGACTTCATCGTTGTCTGCCAGGATGGTCTTCATGTCCAGGCCGCGGTCAAAGGCGCAGGTGACGTGGAAGGCCGTGCGGCAGTTCTTCACCGAGCACTGCAGAGAGCGTGCAGAGGAGAGACTTACGGAGCGACCACAGCAAAGGCACGCACCTACACACAGGCCACACCCCGGGGTACCCCACACGCACACATCACACCTGACACCACGCATGTGCACGCACGTCATACCATCCCACTGTCACACCTGACACCACACGTGCACGTCACACATCCCACTGTCACACCTGACACCACGCATGTGCACGCACGTCACATCACACGCTGTCACACCTGACACCACACGTGCATGTCACACATCCCACTGTCACACCTGACACCACGCATGTGCACGCACGTCACACATCCCACTGTCACACCTGACACCACACGTGCATGTCACACATCACACCTGACACCACGCATGTACACGCAAGTCACACATCCCACTGTCACACCTGACACCACACGTGCACGTCACACATCACACCTGACACCACGCATGTACACGCACGTCATACCATCCCACTGTCACACCTGACACCACGCATGTGCACGTCACACATCACACTGTCACACCTGACACCACGCATGTGCACGCACGTCACATCACACACTGTCACACCTGACACCACACGTGCATGTCACACATCACACCTGACACCACGCATGTGCACGCACGTCACACATCACACGCTGTCACACCTGACACCACGCATGTCCATACACGTCACACCATCACACGTCACACTCCGGCACCCATGCGTGCACAGTGGCAGCCAAGTGAACCCTGGCAGGCTTTCAGGGAAGCAGAGCCTGGAGAAAAGGGAACTCTGCATGTGGAGGCTTCCTAACCACAAAAACCACCAGTAGCTTGAAACAACTCAAGTATAAACTCAGGACCTGGGGCTGGGAAGGTGGCTCAGTGGTAGAGCGATTGCCTTGCATGCCTGAGGCCCCGGGTTCGAGTCCTGAGCTGAAGAGCTGAGGGACAGCACCCAGGCCCTGAGTTCAGGCAGGACCCCATGCCTGCTCAGCTTGCTCGCTCAGCTGCACTCTGCACTTGAGCCACGTCTCCAGACCGGCGTTTTTGCGGATGGCCCTGAGGATCGTCAGGCCCGCCTGGCCGCCTTCACACCCAGAGCTGACAGCCGGCCGGGGGCTCAGCACGCTCCACATCGCCTTGTACTTCGTACACTTTGGCTTTGGGTTTTATGACAAACCTCAAGCATCTTCTACGGACAGGTATGTGCCAGCCAGGGGTCCTCACGGGCCATGAACATGGGTGGCCCCAGGGACCGTGGCTGAGGATGGCAAACATTCCCTCCCTCACAGGGAAAGGGTGGCAGGGCTCAAAGAAACCCATCCTCACCACAAAAACAACATCCCAGCCTCAGTTTGTTGAAAAGGGGGGAGAATGGGAAAGTAATGGAGCGAAGTTGATCAGAAGTACATTGTGTGGACGGACGCTTTATGCAGTGCATGTTAGTAGTAGAGACGGTTCAGAAGGGAGAGGAAGAGAGAAGAGCGGCAGCGAGAGAGCGAGAGAGAGAGAGAGAGAGAGAGAGAGAGTGGCATGGGGGGAGGGGGAGGGGGAGAGGGAGAGGACACAGCCCCAGGGGTGAGGAGGAGGCGGGGGCACTGGGGCCAGGGAGGTCAGGGCAGAGACAGCCAGGAGTCAGCCCGGGCTCAGGGAGCTGTGCGCCCAGCGCCGCCCCTCTGCCTGGGCAGGGCTGCCAGGTGCCCCAGTGCAGCAGCCCTGTCCAGCCAGCGTGAGGTGACTCGACCCAACCCGGCTGAGCACAAGCACCTAGCCCGGGAAGGCTGCAGAGAGGGAGCCCACTCGGCACCCCAAACCCAGAGCCGTGGGACACGGGACACTGCCTGCCCCTGTCCTTCTGTGTCAGACACTGAAATCCTAGCCCTTCATTCTGCTTTTAGCACTCAGCCCAGAGAACCTGGAGAAATACCTGCTGTGCAACCCACAACTAACAACAGCTTCAAGCGGGTGAGGCACCATCGGTGGAAGAACACACTCACCTGCCCAGGCCCTGCTCAGCACACAACACTGACACACCTGCCCAGCACACAACACTGACACACCTGCCCAGGCCCTGCCCAGCACACAACACTGACACACCTGTCCAGCACACAACACTGACGCACCTGTCCAGCACACAACACTGACACACCTGCCCAGGCCCTGCCCAGCACACAACACTGACACACCTGTCCAGCACACAACACTGACACGCCTGCCCAGCACACAACACTGACACACCTGGCCAGGCCCCGCTCAGCACACAACACTGACACACCTGGCCAGGCCCTGCTCAGCACAGCCGCAGCCACCGGAGTGGAAGCTGGCGCTAGCTGGAGCCCATCTGTGCCTGGCTTTGAGCTGCACTAATGCAAGTGTGCTAACCATCAAGAGAAAGGAGCTGCAGCAGCCCTGCGCTGGTGGCCCCTGGGCTTTCCTGTTCAGCAGACAGATGGACGCACAGCCCCTCAGCTGCAGACAGACAGATGGACGCACAGCCCCCCAGCTGCAGACAGACAGACAGATGGAAGCACAGCCCCCCAGCTGCAGACAGACAGACAGACAGACAGACAGACGGAAGCAGAGCCCCCCAGCTGCAGACAGACAGACAGATGGAAGCACAGCCCCCCAGCTGCAGACAGACAGACAGATGGAAGCACAGCCCCCCAGCTGCAGATAGACAGACAGATGGAAGCACAGCCCCCCAGCTGCAGAAAGACAGACAGACAGATGGAAGCACAGCCCCCCAGCTGCAGATAGACAGATGGAAGCACAGCCCCCCAGCTGCAGAAAGACAGACAGACAGATGGAAGCACAGCCACCCAGCTGCAGACAGACAGACAGACAGATGGAAGCACAGCCCCCCAGCTGCAGAAAGACAGACAGATGGAAGCACAGCTACCCAGCTGCAGACAGACAGATGGAAGCAGAGCCCCCAGCTGCAGACAGACAGACAGATGGAAGCACAGCCACCCAGCTGCAGACGTGCAGACAGGAACTGACAAAACGACTCTAGGAAGACACAGAATGTCATCAGTGCTCCTCCCATCGCTTCTCCTTCAAACACACGTTCTGGGAACGTGAGTCCATCGATGGCAAGAGAAGGTGGACTGGCCAGAGCCCTCAGAGAAGCGGCTCCGCCCGCCGCCAGCTCACCAGAGGGTGGTGGCTTGTCCCCAAGTAACACAGTGTCTAAGTCTCTCTCCCATTCTCCGTTGCCCAACCCGCTCTCAGGCAGAGGTACTGGTAATTTTAGTTCATAACAGATTCTCCTGACACCCAAGTCCCCAAGCCTCTGGATATTTCTGCGAAGGTTTCAGACCCTCCAACACCAGGAGATCTCTGGGGTTGTTAGGAAGGAGGAAAAAGGAGAAGGAGGAGGGAGGTAGAGAGAGAAAACTGGACACAGTGGCTCACGCCTCTAACCCTTGCTACCTAGGAGGCTGAGGTCAGGAGGATCGTGGTCTGGGGCTGGCCCCACAGCTCAGCCATTGAAAGAAGTTGGTGTGGCGGCGCCCCCGTGACCCAAACTGCAGAAAGCCGAGCAGAGCCCATGGAGGCCAGCACAGGCGCAAGCTGGGACCCTGACCACAAAGTCGTGAATGGGAACAAGGGGCCTGGCTCGAGGGGTGGCACGCCTGACGGCAAGCAGGGGAGGAGGGGCAGGTAACACACGTGGCTGGGCATCTTGGGGAATCAGGACCACACGCACGCGCTGTCCGTGCTGAGCACCTCTGCTACAGAGCCGCCGCCGCCGTAGGCCCCGGGCCATCTAGACCTTGGGACGCAAGGCCCAGAAAGCGACGCACTGACGCCGTCAGACGACAAGAGGAAACAGCATGCTGTGCTTCCCCCCTTCACTGGACTCAGGACCGTCACACCTGCCTGCATCAGCGCATCTGACACATTCGCTTGCAGGTGAGCCAGTGCCATAAATCAAATGTACAGGCGCTGGTGCTCACGCCTGTAATCCCAGCTACTCAGGAGGCTGAATCTGAGGACTGCAGTTCAAAGCCAGCCTGGGCAGGAAAGTCCAAGAGAACTCTTATGTCAAAAAACTACTCAGGGCTGGGAAGGTGGCTCAAGTGGTAGAGCGCTAGCCTTGAGCTGAAGAGCTGAGGGGCAGCACCCAGGCCCAGAGTTCAGGCCCACGACCGGACCCAAAAAAACAAAAACGAAAACAAAAAACTACTCAGAAAAAGCCAGAAGTAGTTCTGTGGCTAAGTGGTAGAGTGCCAGCCTTTAGCACAAAGAAGTTCAGGGGCAGCGCCCAGGCCCTGAATTCAGACTCCAGGATCAGGAAAAAAAATCCAATGTCTAGGCTGTGTTCAGAGCAGGCCACCTCTTCCTAGAGCAACTTGCACACCCAGGTCTTCATGTCTGCCTGGGGACAGAGCTGTGGCCCGGGCCTAGCAGGAGGCCTGGGACAGAACAGAAAGCAAGGAACTTGCGGGTAACAGCTCTGGGTCCAGGGACATTGGACCATCAGCTAACCCCAGGCACCTGGGCCGGCCCCATGCTCCCTCCCGTTTGGCCTGGCAGCCAAACCTGCTGAGCAGCTTACCTGAATGGAGGCCCCAAACTTCTCGTTGCAGAGACTGCACACCAGTGCCCAGCGGCTGCTGGGGATGTGAGACACCTTGGTGATGGGCTCCATCTTCTCCGGGCTGCCAATGCTCACCTGCAGGCCAACAGCAAGGGCGAACACCCAGCCATCAGAAGCAGAACGGAGTTCAAGACCTGTCACTCTGAGGGCAGCCCCGGGCGCTGCCCTCGCTCACACACAGCCTTGCCTGGCTGACTCCTGCAGACGGCTACCTCTTCCCTTCCTACTGAAGAATGTGGTGGCAAAGGCCCTGGCGGTGGATAGCGCAGTCTTCCTCTGAACCAGTAACAGTTTGGTCAGGACAAAAAATCACCTTAAAGTCCTACATAGACTTTCAGTTTGGAGTGAGCAAATACAAAAGCCATTTCTTATCCATTTCCCAGTAAACATACTAGCTCATTCCACCAGAATGAAAAGAAGAATGATGCAAAGAAGAAATCCCACAGCGAGATAAAACATCATCTCTGCCTTCCATCCCCCAAACCCAGCAGACGGGCTGACCGCAAACACAGGATCCCGCACTGTCTGCCCTCTGCAAGGCCAGGCAGTCTGAGCCACACATGATCTTCTCAGTGACACAGCCAATTAAATTAGTCAAGGTGTGGGACAGGAAATAGACAAAACAAACCCTGCAGTTAAAAAGGTTGCGGCTGAGTAAGAGTTTTCAACAGCTACAACCTGCAGAAGTGTGGCCCGGTGTGTGGCACCATCGGGGAAGGACCAGCAGGCCAGGCCGTCCCTGCGCGGACGGAGCAACCTGACCCTAACACAGTTCCCACGTCCCCACCCCAGGACAACATGGCGGAGGCCAAGCCGGCAGCGACTGGGAAGGATCCCGGGCCGTCAGGCCCCGCGCCCTGCCCCGTCCGGGAGGGTGTGCGGGAGTCACGTACCTCTGGGATCCACAGGGCGCAGCTGACATGGACCCACTTGGTTCCGCTGCGGGTGGGCTTCATGGCGCCCCCCTTCTTGGGACACAGCAGACATTTCGGCTGCACACCCAGGGCGCAGGTCCGGCACAGCCAACTGCCCTCTGGCACCTTGAGGATTCCATAGCAGGCCTGGACAAAGCCACAGCACAAGGCAAAGGAGACAAAGAGAAACACGTTTCCTCTCCAAATGCACACACAGAGGTCCCACCAACGCTGAGATCCCAACCCTGGGCTGCGACCCCAGCAAAGGCGAAAGGCTTCTGGGCTGAGACATGATGCGCTGTGCAGACCCCTGCGGGACAGCCGCACAGCCCTGTACCTACGCCAGGCTCTCCAACGTGGCAGGGCCGCAGGGGGACCCCTACCCTCGCCTCACAGAAAGCGGGGGGCACAGGGCAGCAAGGCACGGCCACACACAGGGCAGCGAGAGGAGCAAACAGACGCGGAAGAACAAGACCCAAGGAGAGTATTTAAAACAAAGCCTCGCACGAGATGGCAACACCACCCGAGACAGCACACTGCAGAAACCAAGGTTTCACAGCTAATGTAATCATGACGGCTCAAGGAGTAAAAAGGCAAATTTGAGTAAGTTACCCCAACGGTACCAGAGGCCCAGAGAGCTTTAAAAGCCAAACTGATAAAAATGAGGTGCACAGGACTTCAGGGAGTCGGGAGTCCTGGCAACACAACGCTACCTCCTCAGACGGCGTCTTAAGAACACCGACCCCCACACGGGACCCGCACGCAAAGGCTGCTCGGCTGCACCCGCCACGCCAGCGCCCAGAACAGGTGCCACAGACGGCGTCTTAAACACCGACCCCCACACGGGACCCGCACGCAAAGGCTGCTCGGCTGCACCCGCCACGCCAGCGCCCAGAACAGGTGCCACAGACAGGACTGGGGCTAACAACACTGACGGTTCCGACTGGGTAAACACAAAATGAGAAGCAGGTCTAAGCTAGTACGTATGGCTTAAAGACAAACCAAGAAGAGGTCACAAGAGAAAAATATACTAAACACAGAGATCAGAAAAAAAGCATCTGAAACTGAGCCCACTAGCCTTGATGGCAGTGACAAGTTTCTAGAACAGAGTTCTTAAGTTTCCAAGCAGACAAGTAAAGGAAGTGTGGAAAGTCCTCCACAGGTTACAAGTACCAGCAGCCAAAAGCAGCAATGGTGGCCACCAGGCCCATGATCACGGCTGACACCCGAGGAATTCACTGCCCAAGGAAACGCAGACAAATGGATGAGCTTCCCAAGACATTCAGAACAAGACCAGACTCTGCTGAGCCGTGGTGGCAAATGGAGGAGAGGCTTGAGCCTCCTCTGTGACGTCAGCCCCGACAGATCCATGGGGGGAGCTTCCAGACTGCCTCTGAAACCCCACATCCCACCCAGTCTGCGCCAACACTCCAGGCCAGCCTAGACGAAGGCGTGTGAGGGCCTATCTGAACAAACAAGCCAAAGCACCGGGGCTCCTGGCGATGATCTCGGTTCTGAGTCAGACAGAGGGAGAGACCACAGTCCAAGGCAGCCCCGGGGGAAAAGGCATGAGGCCCTCTCCAAAAATACCTAAAGCCAGCAAGGGGGCTGGGATCCACACGACGCAGTGTAGACCAAGCCCTGAATTCAAACCAGTGCTGTAGGAAAGACGGCAGGAAGAGGGAGGGAGAGAGGCGGCTCTCCTCTGCTTTATATATTCATCTGTTCTGCCCCTCCCAAAAGCTAAGCAGAAGCCTAACACGACCTTATCTACAGTCCCTGAAAATGCAAGAGCCTGACGTGAGATGGGGAAGTACCCTAGCAAAGCCCTGAAATCCAGCTGATGCCACCACAGGAACACTGGAGTGAGCCAACCACAGAGCCCCCAGCCACCACACACAATGAAGACAGCAGCCAGCCGGGTGCACTGAGGACTGAGGGGACGGACCATGGGCTCTGAGGACTGAGGGGACGGACCATGGGCTCTGAGGACTGACGGGACGGACCATGGGCTCTGAGGACTGACGGGACGGACCATTGGCTCTGAGGACTGACGGGACGGACCATGGGCTCTGAGGACTGACGGGACGGACCATGGGCTCTGAGGACTGACGGGATGGACCATGGGCTCTGAGGACTGAGGGGATGGACCATGGGGTCTGAGGACTGACAGGACGGACCATGGGCTCTGAGGACTGAGGGGACGGACCATGGGCTCTGAGGACTGACAGGATGGACCATGGGCTCTGAGGACTGAGGGGACGGACCATGGGCTCTGAGGACTGACGGGACGGACCATGGGCTCTGAGGATTGACAGGACGGACCATGGGCTCTGAGGACTGACAGGATGGACCATGGGCTCTGAGGACTGAGGGGACGGACCATGGGCTCTGAGGACTGAGAGGATGGACCATGGGCTCTGAGGACTGAGGGGATGGACCATGGGCTCTGAGGACTGACAGGATGGACCATGGCTCTGAGGACTGACAGGATGGACCATGGCTCTGAGGACTGACAGGATGGACGACAGGTCCATGGGACTGAGAGAAGAAGGTGGGCTCCAAGGACAAGAAGCCACCTGGGACACTGGAGCAGAAAGGCAAAGGAAGTGGTGCTGGGCGGAGGTTTTCTGGCCAATGAGAGGGTCTGCCCTACAGCCCCGTTCTCAAACCTCCCTCTTCAACAAAAAGCCCACTCTAGTTGCTTAACAAAAGCCACACAGTCTGCTAAGGAAGCAGCTAGCCCTGTTTGGCGTTCCTGGGTGTGCCGTCTCAGGAGGTGGAGCCCTGCTCCCCGCACACCCCCCGCCCGCCTGGGCCCCCGCCGCCCGGCCGCCCCACCTGGTGCACACAGATGTTGCACTTGTCACAGAACACCATCTCGTTGCCGTCCTCGCCGTCGGGGGACTGGCAGACGTCACACACCACGTCCTCGTCGTACTCAATCCCCAGCCCTTCCTCCGTCTCGATGGCATGGTTCATGTTGTCGTAGCATCGCTGCTCAAACTCTTCCAGGACCCGCTCCATGGTGACCTCATCTAGCTCAGGCATTCCTGAAGGGAAAGATCCATGTCAGTAAGCCCTATTGGTGCACCTCAACAGTTCAGAACCGATAAGGAAAGCACAACACCTTCTATGAATGCCTTCCACGGGGAAGTCTCTCACGAAACCATTCCCATTCTGGCTGCACACAGGAAAGCATACATAAATCTCAGAAGGACCAAGAATATCAAATACCGAGACTGTGAAATAAGCCGTTTCATTATACTTACTGCACCTAACAGCTAACATGTTAAGTTTCAAAACTGTGACCACAACGTATTATGGGGTTTGACTATTTGTTTTGGAATTCTCCTTTACCACTGTGCCCTGAAAGCAGACTTCCTGGCCAGCCTCTCCTCTGAGTTCCACCCACAAGAATGCATAATTATTCGGATACATGGAAGACAAACACGGGAGACTGCAGAGTGGCAGACAGTGCAGTTGTAAACCACACTTCTGCAAGAGGCATGGTCTTGGCTAGGGTAGGGGGCAGGCCCATCTTCTATTTGCACATTCTCTAAACTCCTTACAATGAAAGTATCTGTGCAGTTAAAAAGCTGGTTAAAAAACCACTCAAGGATACAAATGCTGCAGAAACGGCAAAGGAAATGACTGCAGGCTGCACTTACCATAAATTCTAAAACTATCAAATTAACTTCTCACACTTTCAACAACGTAGAGAACACAGGTGAGATGAGCCCCACATTTCCCCGCAGTTCCCTCCTGTGGCTGGAGGCCCTGGCCCCCAGTCCACCCTGTACACAGGACTGCCACCCTGCTTCCAGGCCTGCGGAGCCCCCGAATCCCCAGGCAGCACAGGCCTTCGCACCAAGGGAGCCAGGCGGCTGGCGAGGGCGCGGCTGGGCCCCGGAGCCACCGGTGAGACAGGGAGAGGCCACTCCCAAGGCAAGGTCTGGCTGTAAACACCGAAAGCAAAGGCTGAGGGAAGCAATCTCCTCGGTGAGGACAGCCAGAAGGGGCAGTGGTCAACGGCCAGGCCAGCGGCAGGTAAGCTTCCACACAGCCAGACGAGAGTGCCTGGGCCCCCAAAGCCCTGTGGCTACCTACTCCAAACCACGGCACAACCCTTGCATGGTCAGACATGCCTCCCTGCCTGGCGGTGGCAGCCCTCAGGGGCCCTGAGCAGCAGGCTGGGCGCACGTGGAGACGGCACCACAGAGGCCCACAGACAGGAGGCTCCCGTGGCCACTGCTCGCAGTGAGGACACAGGTGGCAGGAGACCGCGAGGGGGTGCTGGAGCCTGGCGGCGCAGCAGCAGGTCAAGGAGCACGCCTGACACGGGACGCCGGGGAAGACGCCGAGCGAGCGTGAGGAGCCGCCAGAGTGCACTCCGCGGCTGGCACGCGCTCCTGCCCACGTGCGTGCCCGACAGCCGCCCCTGCCGAGCCTCACCCATCTCCTTGAACTCCTCATTGGTCAGCTCCAGCCACGCGGCATCCGTGTCGTTGAGATCGTACCGGCACACACTGTCGGCCAGCGTTCGGATGTCAGCATAGCCCAGAGCTGGAGGCTCGGAGCCTGCGGAGACGATGTGCTTCTTCGGCCTAATGAACATGAGGGACGTCTCTTCAGACAGGACCCTGATTAACAGAACACAGGGCGCTCAACAAGTGCATCAGAAAACCCAGCTGCAGCTTCCTCCTCCTCCTCCTCCTCCTCCTCTCTCAGGCTCACACACAGCCCCAGTGTCAGTGGAAACCCTAACTAGATGAAAAACAAAGGCCTCCAATGGAAATAGGAGCCCACGTCCAGGCCGTGGCCCGGCCCCTCAGCGATGCAGCGGGGAAGCCGGAGAGCGAGGCCTCTCCTCCAGGCCGGCAGTGGGCCAACCTGCAGCAGAGCAGCCACCTGGCGGGGCAGGTACGCCAGGACACACAGCACGGCCCAGGGAATCACCTGAGCCCGGGGCCCGCTCACCGACAGAGGAGAGACTTCTCAGTGGGTCTGGAGAATGTGCCTAACAGCTAGAAAGGGCAGTATCTCACAAGCTCCTCCTCTGGAGCCCTAGCCAGACGGGCCTGCTCCTGCAGCATCGTCTACAACTACAGCTAGAAAGGGCAGTATCTCACAAGCTCCTCCTCTGGAGCCCTAGCCAGACGGGCCTGCTCCTGCAGCATCGTCTACAACGCGTCCAGGCCGGACTCCTCTGCGTTCCAGTCACTCAAGAGAAGAGGCAGCCACAGGCATCAGCCAGTGCTCTCCCCAGGCTGTCCTGGGGCCCCCGCCCGCCCGCCCGCCCGCCCTCCCCACGGCGACTCCTAATCCTGCCGTGTGCAGGGCTCTGACCAGCCTCCCTTGTGCCTGGTGCAGGACGGAGCCCCGGCAGGGCGGGGAGGGCGCTACCTGGCCACAGGCTGAGGGATGGTCCCTGGGCTCACGGGCACCTGGACTCCCTTCTCCCACTCCTGTCTCCATGGGTCTGCTAGCACGTAGTACTCATCCGGGTTGAGCTGGTACGAGTCATGCAGCTTCATGGCGGTGATCAGGTCTGTTCTAAACACCTGAAGGAGGGAAAGGGGCACGCCGACGCTTCATCTCACGCACAGCAGCTGGAGCTGCCACATGCCCACACGGAAGGAGCAGTTCCCTCACCCAGGCCAGAAGGCCAGCCCTGCTCCCTCTCCACAGGCAGGCAGCGCACGCCCAACCTCCACACACCGGGAAGGCTCTTGGAGAATCGCCTAACTCCTGTCAGACACAAACCTGCACCGACCACAGACAAAGCCTGGCCTACAGGGCCGTCCTCACGGCGAGTGCTGCCTTGGGTGGTGGGGCTGAGCGCAAGGGAGAGGAAACCTTGCTTCACCGTGCTGCAGAGGTAGGGCCAACACGAGGCCTCTCAGATACCTGCCCAGAAAGGACTGGGGAAAGCAAGTGTGTGTGTGTCCGTGCGCGTGCGTGCGTGTGTACACGTGTGTGCACGTAAGCACGTGTGCATACACGCACTGCAGCTCTTCTGGCACAGTCCCTTGCTGCTGGATGAGGGGACATATCCCCACCTGGCCAATGATGCCCCACAATGCCCCTCTCCAACTCCTCATCACCTCCCAGAACCACGGCGGCCTCTAGCGGCATCCACGTCAGAAAGCCAGCCTGAGCTGCTGGCTGAAACTCACTGCTGGTTTCCTCCCACACCTTCTTCTCGGCCACTCATGTCCTCAGCTACCTAAGGAAGCCTGACCTGGGTATCAGCCCAGCCCAAAGTTGTGTCTGGTGTCTGAAGGCAGTCCTCTGGGTACACAGGACAGGGGCACGCCCTCGCACTGCTCAGCACCTGGCACCTGTCTACACATCCATGTTTCGTAATCTACACCACGTGCCTGCTGCCCACAGAGCCTCACACACTGGTGGTGGCTCCTACGATCAGTGTGCGAGTACAGGCTCTCCCCTCCCTGGCCGTCATCTTCAACAGCGTCCTTCCAGAACCGTATTGCCATCCTCACTCCTAGTTCTTCCACAGAACCACCCAGAGACTGAGCCCTGAACCCAGCACAGCCCAGCATCCTTCACCCCAAGGGGCCCCTCAGGCCTACACAGAGCAAACTCCACACAAACCGACTCCAAACTGGGAGGACAAGATGAGCGATGTGAGCACAGGCACCATCCCTCCAGACTGGGCGGGGCTCTGATCTCCACAGAGATGCCTCAGGTACACTAGGCTCAAAGCAGCACTGCACTACGGCAGGACATAGTCTGAGCTCCAGAAAGGCACCCAGCCTGCAGGGACCCCACTGTATCAGGACACGGCAGCACAGCACGGTCACCAGAAATCACCAAGTATGATGATCAGAAAGGCATCCTGGGTACAGGAACTGAAAGGAGCTGCACAGATCCACAGAAGCAGAGCAGGCCCCACAGGTCAAAGGCACAAAAGGCCTGGTCGCCGCCCTCTGAGTCACCCACACCTCCGCCCCCAACCCAGCCTCCGTGCCCTAAGCACACACACTGCTCAGGGGCTAGCTTCACAGCCAGCTCGCTGCTCTGGGTCAGGCACTGCTGGGCTGACACCCCTGCCCTGGCCTGTGCCCGAGGAAGGCCCTCAGCCCACACCCCTGCCCTGGCCTGTGCCCGAGGAAGGCCCTCAGCCCACACCCCTGCCCTGGCCTGTGCCCGAGGAAGGCCCTCAGCCCACACCCCTGCCCTGGCCTGTGCCCGAGGAAGGCCCTCAGCCCACACCCCTGCCTGGCCGGCGCCGGGGAAGGCCCTCAGCCCACACCCCTGCCTGGCCGGCGCCGGGGAAGGCCCTCAGCCCACACCCCTGCCTGGCCGGCGCCGGGGAAGGCCCTCCTGTGCAGTGCTGTCATAAGGCAGAGCATCGTTGCACCAGAAGCAGCACAAGGCCAGAGTCGGCCTGCAGTGAGCTCCCTCCCAGGTTGTCGGCTGAGAAACGGTGGCAAACAAACCACTCTGAAGTGAGTGCTTGGAGCCGAACAAGGCACAGACAGAATACCCAACCACAGCCAGGTAAGCGGTGTGAGAGGCGAACAGAAAACAAGCTCGGATGGCAAGATTAACAACAAAATGCTGGCCGCGCCGGAGAGGGGGGATAAGAAACAAACTAGGGAAGAGCAGGGAAAGCCTGAAGCATGGAGCCCACGACGAACTCCCAGGATGGCACTGGTCTGTGGCCAAACAGGCCACAAGCTCATGGCTGAAACTTGAGGCTGGCAGCCACTGTCCAGCCGCCGGCCTGCTCACCTTCTGGCCAGGGGAGGGGCTGGGAGCCGGTGAGGGGGAACAGTTAACAAGAACAGTTGACACTTGTGGCACACTGCGTGACAGACAGAAACCACACCTGAGTCCGTAAGCATCACCCCCGCCCTAAAGACATCCACAGGCTGTACTTGTCGGCAGCAGGCACGTGTGTGCACACATGCGTGATGTGCACACACGTGACACACATGACACGTGACACACGCGTAGCACACGACGTGCACACATCTGGTGTGTGCGTGCGCATGTGGCACTGCACATAGGTACACATGACAGGCACACACGACATGCAGATACGACATGCACACACAACACACATGGACACACACACGCGGGACATGTGCGACCACTAGGTACCTCGGAAGGCTTGCGATCCTCGTGTTTGGAGCAGGAGCTTCTCCTGTGCTGGGATCGAGAATTCTGGGACCAAGTAGTGGACAGGCCTACGGAAACAAAGGTCAAAATGGGATCCATGAAAGGCTGGGAGGGTCCACACCCCAAGGGCAGCGCTCATCCCCTCCTCTTCCAGCCGCGGCTCCGCAGAGGCACAAGCGTCCCAGTTCCCTAGGACCCCAGCGGGCCCGCGTGGCACTGTGCAGACCCTGAGGCTCCCCAAGTTCCCGCCTACCGACAGGGAGATGGCACAGGCCCTGCCGCCGGCAGCGGCACTGCTGGGCACACTCCTCATGGACAGATGGAGCACGTCTTGCCGGGTCCCAGTAAGCTTTCTAACGCTAGCATTACCCAAAGGCCTTACCGAAAACAAAAATTTTAAGAAGACATACAATTCAGCAACCCCTTTCACGTGAGTTTAAAACAATAATTGTGCCAGGCACCGGTGGCTCACACCTGTCATCCTAGCTACTCAGGACTCTGAGATCTGAAGATCGAAGTTCAAAGCCAGCCCAGGCAGGAAAGTCTGTGGGATTCTTACCTCCAATGAACCACTCAAAAACTGGAAGTGGTGCTTGGCTCAAGTGGTAGAGCACTGAAGAGCGGAGGGACAGCACCCAGGCCCAGAGTTCAAGCCCCATGACCAACAACAACAAAAATAATAATTGCCCCTTCTAGCTTCTCATGAGTGTGCCTCCTCCCCTCCCCGGATGCCCCGTGCCTCCAACCGACTCTCCCCGTGGATCCAGGCCTTTGGAGTGCCAGGAAGGCTGGCACTGAGAGCCACGCCATCTGGTCTTGGAGGCCGGCCTCTGTCCTGAAGGTTCCCCTCCGGCCCTTCTCTTCTGTGCACCTGTAACCCGTGGCGTCTGTACCAGCACGCCCAGGAAGTCTGTTAGACCTCCATCTTCCCCTCCCGTCTACGCTGGCCTCCACACAGACATCAACCGTTAGTTAGACAAAAACCTGTGCAGTTCTCACACACTGGACCGAGTACCAGGCCTACCCGTGAGCGCTCCCAGCTCTCCCCTGGACGGTCCAGCTATCGACTGAACTTCCAATTCCCTTCTCTCCACCCACCACGGCTTGCTGCTCCTCAGTAGCCACATAACCACGGGGGCAAGACTACTGCCGAGCTCCCAACCGTCACTGACCTCTACCATCCCAACCCACCATGCTGCCTTCCAGAATTAAGTCCCAAAAGAGCCGAGTAACACGCCCCCACTGGGCGTGCACACAGCTTCAGTGCCACACCCACTCTCCAGACCAAGGGACGCACACCTTCACTCCAGCCACACTGGACACCCACAGCTGCTGTGTGTCAACCATCCTTCCATAAAGCTACAGAAGCCTACCACCACGGAGACAGGCACTAACCATACAGTCAAAGAAAACTCGGTCTCGCAATGCGCCGATGGTTTATACAAAACCTACGCATGGCCGCAAACCCGGGGAGGAATGGACAGGAGACAGGGCTCAGAGTCGCGGCCCAGCGTCCTGGTCAGCAGCAGGCTGGGCGCTGTCTTCTTGCCAACTCACGTTGCTATGTAAGAGCGACTGGCATGAGCCACAGAATGCAGGACCGGGTGTGCAGCCAATGTTCTTCCACAGACAGTTCCCAATACATGTATTTTTCAAGAGCAGACAAAATTTTAACAGTGGCATCAGGGAGAGTCAGGTAGTCTTGCTTTTAGGAGATCCATCCCTGTGAGCCAAGGGATGAAAATGGCAGGCACAAGGAGCATCCTGGCGTTCTACCTCAAAGACAGGAGGAAGGAGGGCCAGAGGCCTCCTCCTGGAACGCGTTCAGAGCCACTACAGCCGTTTGTCCTCACAACTCTAGCACCGTCTGTCCACGTCACCCTCAACTCCCAAACAGAAATCACTGGTGTTCCAGTGTAGTCTCAGTACCTAGGAGGCTAAAAAGCAGAAGCCCAAGTTGGAGGCCACCCTGGGCTTTATTATAAAGACCCTGTTTCAAAGAAACACCCAACGTGGTGTGTCCTTATCACAGTCAGAGTGTAACAGTAAAAATAATTTTCATATTGTTAATCAGAAATACTCTGGTCTGAGAGACTGATTTATGCTGTAGTAAAGCATCAAGCATCTAATGTGTGTTAAGATTGTACCTGGTTGTGTGCTAAGACTATCTCCAGTTGTGTGCCAAGACTATATGTAGTGTGTGCAAAGATGATATCTTGACGTAGGCTAAGTCTGTGCCCAGCGGATGCTAAGACTACATCTAGTTCTGCGCTAGGGTCGGGTTTGGTTGGTCCTGCACTTGTCTCTGTGATGCTGATATTTAAGTACCAGTGATAAGAATATACAAGTGAAACTGCTTCCTTTTGCTCTCAGGAGAGATGCTGGCAGTCCTGAACATCGACAATAATGTCTACCTCACCTTATTGCCACTCGCAAGGTAAGATTACTGCCGAAGTCCGATCTAGAGGCAGGCTTCTGTGGCTTCCAACACGGGGCATGTGCACTGCTCAGGAGCAATCCCACACTGACAACCTGCTAGTCTTGTTCTGACTATCCCAGCTCCACTGGGCCAGACCCCTTGGGAACTGCAGTTACGCAAGTCCAACACTCCGAGCTCCGCCCTCTCGTCCTGTAGTTCAGACATCACCACAGCCCCTTGGAGCTATTAGGAGAACGCATACACCTCACACCTAACAGCCGTGTGGAAGAAGCCCCCCAACAGCGGGCTCTGAACCCACACTCACGCCACCACCCACCCCACCTGCCGCAGGGTGCCGTACATGTCACAGAGCGGACACACAGGCCTGCCAGCCGGCTGCTCTGCAAGGAAGTGGCCCGTGTCGGCTCTCAGCCACAGAAAGCACTGTCGCTATTAAGACAAAGCGCCTGGGTTGGCCGCTGTCTGAACAGGGGCCGACCGACACCTGCCCTCGCTCTCCACTCCAGCCCCCTGACCTCCTGGTCCAACTCACCACTGGGTGCAGAGAACTGGCCCAAGAAGCTCAGCAGATTAAGTAAACTGGGGCCTGCCACCAAGGACACACCATCATCCCTCCATCACAAGTCCCAAGAGCCACAGAAGAGCAATCTGTGGAGGACATGGTCCCCGAGCCCAAGACAGCACACTCTGCCACAGCCCTCCCAGCCTTCCCCGGAGCATGGGTACGCGCCATGCAGCACTGGGGCCACAGCCCCCCCCCCCCGCTCCGGGAGTGAGCCCCAGCCGGGCCCTGAGTGTCCACGCAGGAGCTGAGGGCGAGGAGATTACAGCGCACTGCAGCAAGAGCAGAGCCCACTCTCTAGCCCCACTAGAGACACGCAGCGGGGTAACAAGCCCCGGCAGACAGCAGATGCAGAGGCGACGAAGACCCCCGCCAGCCACTCAGCTCCCTGTGGAGGACATGAGTAGTGGACTAAGGCTGCTTGGCAGGCCTGGCCCCAGACCCTCTCCCCACAGAGGCCTGAAAACCAGGCACCGGAGCCTGCCCCTCGACTCCAGGGGGCTGCAGATAACCTGCGCAGGTCGAGCATTCTTTGCACAAGCCAAAGAACCCATGTTCCTCTGGGTCTCTGAAAGGCACCCAGTAAAAAAACAATCAACAAAAATGCCATTACGTTTGGCTAGCTGACCACAGCCAAAACCTCATTCAGGCAGAAAACTGCCAAGCATTATGTCGTTTTTATATTTATACAAAGAAGAGGCAAATCAGAGCCGTTTAGCCTCAAACAACCAGTAATACTTCTTTCTTAACCAGAGGAAGTCACATTTGGATTGCAGATAAAATGGCTCTAGGTTTGGGAAATACTGAAGGCAGCTGGAAGACCCGTTCCACAGCTGCCAAGGCCCAAAGGACAGAGGAGCCTGGGCTGGATTAAAGGCTTGCTCCCTTGGTCAACCCCTGGCATGATATGTAACTTGAGTGGAGCTGGGTCACCCAGTCCCAAGAGGCCAGCAACTACAGAGTCCATCCACCTGAAGGGGGGGCCTCTGGGATGCTGGGAAAAGGGTGGCACCAGGCATACAAGCCCCCACACACCTCCCCCCCCCACTAGGCCAGCAGATAAAGCAGAGCGCTCAGAACTGGGAAGCCACTCAGCCCAGCCCCAGACCTCGTGACCCCGCAACGCCCTGTCCCCCACTTGGACTTGCTCTGAATGGGGCTGGGAACCCTTGCTCAAACTCTGTCAGGACTGCAGGCCGAGAGGCCAGTGCCCAGAGCGGTCTGAAACACACAAGGCATAGGGCACAGCGACCACCTCAAGTAGAAGGGAAAGGCCCCACAAGACCCCGGACACACAAGCACACCTGAGAGGCTGCGTCAGAAGCCAGCCGGCGAGGAGCGGTGGAGAAAGGGGCATTCCACAGCGTGGACACACAGCCGGCATTGCACAGGGTGGACACACAGCCGGCATTGCACCGCGTGGACACACAGCCGGCATTGCACCGCGTCGCGTGGACACACAGCCGGCATTGCACCGCGTGGACACACAGCCGGCATTGCACAGGGTGGACACACAGCCGGCATTGCACAGCGTGGACACACAGCCGGCATTGCACAGCGTGGACACACAGCCGGCATTGCACAGTGTTGATGGACACACAGCCGGCATTGCACAGCGTGGACACACAGCCGGCATTGCACCGCGTGGACACACAGCCGGCATTGCGCCGCGTGGACACACAGCCGGCATTGCACCGCGTGGACACACAGCCGGCATTGCACAGTGTTGATGGACACACAGCCGGCATTGCACAGCGTGGACACACAGCCGGCATTGCACCGCGTGGACACACAGCCGGCATTGCACCGCGTGGGCATTCCACAGCGTGGACACACAGCCGGCATTGCACCACGTGGACACACAGCCGGCATTGCACAGTGTGGACACACAGGCCGGCATTCCTAAAGATCCTCACGAAAACTACTGGTTTTCCACACTTGGTTACTACCGAGCCTGGACATGCAGCAGCCACAAAGCCCATCTACGCCTGTACTGGACCGCCACACAAGGCCTGTGCCCCACTTCCGCAACCAGCAAAGGATCAGAGCACAACTGGGCTTTAACCCCCCTCCAGGACAAACCCCTGGCACCCTAGAAATGTTCACAAACCCCGGACCCAGAGTCCTCAGAGAGGCCGGCAACAAGGTATGAGGAAGAAAATGGCCTGGCCCCAAAAACTTGTTTTCAGGAGTCACACCTTTGAGATGTGACACAGACATTCTCTTTCCCCTTCCTTTCCAGCCAGAGTTCTGCACAGAAATGAGGAGACCGGTTTGTTCTGAAGTTGAGTGTGAATGAAGCCCTTTGCTGGCCTCAAACTCAGCCTCCTGAGTGCTGGTATTACAGGTGTGAGCTACCACACCAGACTAGAAATGCATTTCTAAATGAAGCACTTGGTCTTGTAGGGCTGTGTGAAGCCTCAACTCCTAGCACCTCGTGCGTGACTGTTCTTGGAGCAGGAACATCAAAAGGTGGCTCCAGTCAAAACCAGCTGCTGGGGGGGGGCAGCCCCCGGGGAGGGGCTGCGGGGAGGGTGCAGGCGGAGGGGACACCCGCCGGCCAGCACTCTGGCCTTGGAGCTGCACCTCCATCAGTCGTTTGACACCCTGGCCTGGCTGAGGCCTGCAGGCTCCCCCCTGGGGTGAGGCTGGGAGGGGCTGGGCTGCATCACCTGCTGCACATGGCTTCCACGTCCAAATTCATTAAAAATTAAGTGGAATCTTAAAATTCAGTTTCGTACTCGTACCGGATTAGAACATGCTATTCTAATAAATGCTGCCCCGAAAGAGAAAGGCTCATGTTTGAGAGAACATTCCAGAAGAATCTCTAGCTCCAGTATTGCTCAGAGGAAATAAGAGCAAACACAGTGAGCACACTCCCATCAACGATGACAAACGGATGTGTCCATGCACAGACGTACACACAGGATGCTCAGTCCTTGCTGTGGTCATTCACAAAGCCATCTCAGGATTAATTCTAAACCTAAAGGCACGACTTTTTCTAAGCATTTCTGGAGGACTAAACTGTGCACTTGAACAAGCAGCAAGCATTTACTGAGCCCTTTGCTGAAGAGTCAGGAAACTGCCATCCGAGGTGGAGAACACACCCCCCCCCCCGCCCGTGCCTGTGGCGTCCAACGTCCAATACAGTGAACACTGGAGGAAACAAGCCCTAGGATCAGCCCACTGGTGTGGTCAGACCCCTTCGGGGCCTGCTCCCTCCCCTGCCTCCCTCCCTCCCTCTACTCTAACAACAGTGAAGGCTCCCTGTTCTCCTCAGGGCTAGGCTGGTCAGCTTCCTGCACACACCTGGCACTGCTCTAACACCTTCCACGGTTCCCGCAGCTGTCAGGACAGATACTTACCACAAACATCGTGCTACTCTACAGCGTTTAATCTGTCGATAACTTAAGAGACTAAAGCAACTGAAATTAAAAACCTTCTTCTCTTCGTCAAGTTTCCTCTTCAGGCTGTCAATATGTACCTAACACATCAAAAGACAGCTGAGAAACTGTCCTCATGGCCTCAATCACAGCTGCCAAGCTGTCAATCACACCTGGCCAAGCTGAAATCCCCCAGGCCCCTCCCCACACACAAGAGCACAACTGCACGCTCCAGCACTGTGCCAGGCACAAAATCTCCATCCACTGTATGAGAGAAGCTCTTCCTTCCCTCAGTAATCTGAGTGTGTCAGTTCACCAACCCCTTGGCGCCCACCTATACTATGTGGGTCCACTGGCCCCACGTGATGTCCACCAATACCATATGATGGTCACCAACACCCTGTGGTGTTCACCAACTCTGTGATGTCCACCGACACCATGTCACATCTACCAATACCGTGTGGCATTCACCAATACCACATGGCATCGCTGATACCACGTGATGTCTGCCAATACCGTACGGCGTCCACTGAAACCATGTGGGCCTTCATCCGCAGTGTGACATCCACAATGTGCAGCGTCCACGGACACCGCATGGCATGCACCAACAAAAGCCAGCTCGCTCCAGCTGTGCTGTGAAGACACGAGGTGACCAGACTGCTGAGACACAGACTACGCAGCACCCACTTCACACACTTGGTGTCACCAGCAGCCCCCCATCTCCCCGTGGACCCGGCCCAGCCTATCAGTCATGACCTGGCTTGAAGCACCTGTGAAGCACAAGTTCCATGCACAGGGAACACAGACACCATGGTGACCCTGGGGACTTGTCTGCAGTCCCTGGCAGGGAGTCTGCACACACACCTGCAGCCTCACACTGACATGCAAAGGGCCTCGGCCTCTGAAAGTACGAATGAAGAAGTCAAGTGTTACGCTGGCCCCAGCCCGGCCGGCGGAGAACAAAGCAGGACTCACTGCCATTGTCGTCGGAGTCCTCACTGCTGCTGGGAAGGCGGCCTCGTTTCATGATCTCCCGGGGCACAGCAGGCAGCCTGCAAGGCAAGGAGACAAGAACACACACGCGTCATCGAGGTGTGTCGGCCACCAGCGCAGATCCACAGCAGACAACAGCCAGAGGGCCTTAGGAAGCCCTCCAACAGAAAATGGAAGAGGAACGTAACCGGTTCCAATCACTAACACACCAGATAGGAAAAAGGGTACTGGAAGTGGGCCTCCTACAGGCACCCGTTTCTCCCCTCCCTCCCTCCCAAGACATTGTAGCTACAACCAGTCCAGGAGGACTGCAGAGATGACCCCTCACTAGGAGAGCTTCTTCAGTCAGACCACTTCCTCACTCAGGCTCCCTCACATCAGACCACCCCCTACCAGTCAGGTCCCTTCAGACACCCTCTCTCAGACACCCTCTCACAGTCAGACACCCTCTCACCGTCAGACACCCTCTCACCGTCAGACACCCTCTCACCGTCAGACACCC